CTCCTCCTTCTCCTTCTCCTTCTCCTTCTTCTTCTTCTTCTTCTTCTGCTTTCTTTATCTGGCAACGTGTACTTTTGCCTGCTAATGTGTGGGTAAGTGTTTCCATGGTAACCGTATCACATATGGGCTCGTCTCATAACTCAGCCTTCCTGGATTGCTCCTGATGCCAATATGGGAGCCTTTTTTTTAGTTACCATGGTTATGTGGGGGGAGGGGGTTAGAGAGAAAAATAGCTTATTACATAATGTACTATCCTTAACTGGGACAGATCCACTGCCTGGTTGGATCGATATACGGGCAATTAATAGGATAGACTTCAAGTTGGTGAAAACATACAAGCAAATTATATATATATATATATATATATATATATATATATATAAATATTACACACAAATTCTGCTGACATTATCTGTCTTTGTGGACTTGGGAGGTTCCTAACCAGGAAGGAAGGGGACCAATACTTCATTGTGCCTTTGAATTAGAAGTCGCCATGCTTATAATTACCTCCACCATAAATGTTTAGTCTTGTGGTGTTTCCAGTGTTGACTGTACCTGTGATAGCAGAAAAGCAGATAAAATCATTATTGTGCACACTTTGATAGCAATGGAGAAATTAGGAAGGTGCATTAAACCAGTGGACTAGAATATCCTCAGAAATAAGTTGACCAGTGGCTCTTGTTTGCAAGGGGAGCTTCCGTACAAGGCCGCTTCATCAAAATTATTCTTATTCTGGATTTTTTTTTAAAAATTACAACCAAGGCTATATCCATTTGCAGAACAGATTACCAGCGTAGCAAAACAGCTGTGCCTATATCCAGAGATATCTTTTCGAGCAGCTGCAAGAAACTTTGCAGAATGCCGTTTTTACAAATTCCTTGTCTAAATATGATATCAGCGTGTTTGGTTCACACCGGGAGTGGTTGCTGGCAGAGAATTCAGGTTCAAGTATTTCAACTGGTAGCAAAGCCCCGAGCTCCAGCATTAAAGCAGCTTTAATCTTCTTCCGTTTTCCAGGAAAGTTCAGCAGGCTTCTTTTTTTAGTTCTCAAGAAGGAAGACTGAAAATCAAGATAGGTTCATTAGCCTTCCACAGTTTCATTGAAAGATTTCTGTGCCATTTGAAACCATCGTACTTCGGCACCGCAGTGAAATTAGAAGTTTGTCTAACGTGTACTCTGAAATTCTATGCAGCGTAGAAAATTGCAGGATGCGCAGTTTTCAAATTAAAACAGGACTATTATAAAATTACAAATAATAATAGGCCGACCGCTAATATTTTAAAGTCTTGGTTTGTTCAATTTCTAGTCTAATACAGGGAATGCTCGACTTACGATCACAATTGAGCCCAGTGAGACATTTGTTAAGTGAGTTTTTGCCCCATTTTTCTTGTCACAGTTGTTAAGTGAATTGCTGCAATTGCCGTTAAGTGAGTAACACAGTTGTTAAGCGGATCTGGCTTCCCCCTTGAGTTTGCTTATCAGAAAGCAAGAAAAGGGATCAAATCACACACACACACACACACTGACACTGGACACTGAAACCATCATAAATATATGTCAATTGTCCAGCATCTGAATTTTGCTCACATGGGGATGCCACAATGCAAAAAATGGTCATAAGTCACTCTTTTTCAGTGCCTTCATTGTAACTTTGAATGGTCACTAAATGAACTGTGGTAAATCAAAAGCTATCTTCATAGCAGAATATGTTTTACACTCTGCTCCTTCATGAGGAATTGGCCTAGCATACTTGGTACTTTTTTCACGTTTGTTATTCTTTCCAAAAATGAGACTTTCCAATTGGGCTTCATATCACAAAGACAAGATGCCTTCTTGATTTTGATCTAGAAGAAGCTGGTTTGTTTTGGTGATGCCTTTGGAATCAGACTTGAACCAAATCCCAAAGATGCTTTTTCAAAAAGCAAGCTGGACTGTCTGTTTCTTTTTCCCCTTTAAAAAACATTTTGCTTCCCATTCAAGAAGCAAACATTTTCAAAGGAAAAAAAAAAAGACCTTTGCAAAATCCCTATAATGATATGATCAAAATTCAGACGCTTAGTAACCGGTTCATTTTTACGACGGTTGCAATGTCCCGGGGGTCCTGTGATCCCCTTTTGCGGCCTTCTGACCAGCAAAGTCAATGGGGAAGCCCAGATTCACTTAACAGCTGTTTTACTAACCTAACAACCACAGTGATTCACTTAACAGCTGTTGGCAAGAAAGGTCGTACCACAGGGCAAAACTCACTTAATTAATGTGTCACTTAACAACAGAAATTTTGGGCTCAATTTTGGTCATAAGTTGAGGACTGCTTGTATTTTTGTGTGTTTAATCCCCCATTTCCTAGGGCCTCTCTTAGCGCTTCGTTCCTAGGGGGTCCTCTTATCCTAAGCTTGAACCATTTCCACAAGGCAAAAAAGAACACTTTAACGCAACGTCTGCCAGCGTTGACTTCTTTGCGCCACATCCTAGGAAAGCACATAGCCACACTGTCATCATGGTTATATCTTTATTTCTTCAATGGGCTTTATTTCATATTTGTATTGAAACATGTATGTTGAGTTTTCAACTGGGAGAAAAATATTCTTTTGTTTCTTAACTTGTAACCCCTTTTCTTTCATTAACAAAAAAAATAAATAATCAAAAGTATGCAGACCCAGTGGCAGATTTGTTGGACCGTTGGGGTGTGTTTACGGCTCGACTCTTCCGGGAATCCTGTGTTTTCCACAGAGGAAATTACGTGAAAGATCTTAGCCGGCTTGGACGAGAATTGAGCAAAGTCGTCATCGTAGATAATTCCCCTGCGTCTTACATCTTCCATCCTGAAAATGCTGTAAGTAATTTTGATCTTAATTTTGCTGTTGATCAGTCATTAAGTTGTGTCTGAACCTTTGCGACCTCATGGACCACAAGCATGCCAGGTCTTACCTGTCCTTCACTGTCTTCACATTAATACCTGAAGTATTAATGCCACTCTATAAGGCCTTGGTAAGACCACACTTGGAACAATGGCATCCAGTTTTGGTCGCCACGATGTAAAAAAGGTGTTGAGACTCTAGAAAGAGTGCAGAGAAGAGCAACAAGGATGATTAGGGGACTGGAGGCTAAAACATACGAAGAGCGGTTGCAGGAACAGTGTGTATGTAGTTTAATGAAAAGAAGGACCAGGGATAGCAGTCTTCCAATATCTCAGGGGCTGCCCCAAAGAAGAGGGAGTCAAGCTGTTCTCCAAAGCACCTGAGGGCAGGATAGGAAGCAATGGATGAAAATTAATCAAGGAGAGAAGCAACTTAGAACTAAGGAGGAATTTCCTGACAGTTAGAGCAGTTAATCAGTGGAGCGGCTTGCCTCCAGAAGCTGTGAATGCTCCAACACTGGAGGTTTTTAAGAAGAGACTGGACATTTGTCTGAAATGGTTATAGGGTTTCTTGCCTGAGTTGGCTGTTGGACTAGATGACCTCCAAGGTCCCTTCCAACTCTGTTATTCTGTTATTCTATTCTATCTCCTGGAGTTTTCCCAAATTCATGTTCGTTATGTCAAAAACACTATCTAACCATCTCACCCTCTGCCGTCCCTTTCTCCTTTTTGCCTTCCATCTTTCCCAGCAGCAGGATCTTCTCCAAGGAGTCCTTATCTTCTCATTCGGTGGCCAAAATATTTGAGCTTCAGCTTCAGGATCTGTTCTTCCAAAGGACAGTCAGGGTTGGTTTCCTTTAGCATTGACTGATTCGGCCTCCTTGAAATCCAAGCGTCTCTCGAGAGCCTTTTTCAACAGTGGTTGCAATACATGGAAGTATTTCTGCCTTTGGATTTGTCTAGAAAGATATTTGTTGACTTTTAAAAAAAAAGAAAAGAGGGAGTAGGCTCCGGAGTGTCAGTTTAGTAAGAGATTTGGAGATCTGCCATTAGAGAATTATCACTCTCCAGTCATTTACCAAAGAAACCATGAATTAATTGTATGAATGAAATAAAAGAGCCTGCTGTGCCATTGCTCCAACCCTTTGGAGCACCCTCCACTCCAGAAGTGAGGTGGCCCCCCGTTCTCCTGGCCTTCTGGGAAGCTGTCAAACATGGCTCTCTCACCTTGTTTGGGGCTTGCAGAGAGCACACAGCCCTAGGGCTGATAGCAACCTGAAAGCCCCCTTAAAAATAAACACATTTATTTTTAATGTATCCTTTTCTTTTTTAATTTTGTACACTGATTTTATGCTTTAATATTTTATCTGTAAACCACCCAGACTCCTGTCATATAGAGACAGGTGGTTTCAAAATTTAATAAAATAAAGTCTCAGCCGGTCTTCTGAAACCTCGTAGATTTGCACACAAACCACCATACAACAGCAGAAAGCAGGTTTCAAGGTGGTTTAATGTCAAACAACAAACTTCCCATCCAGCAAGAACAGCATACAATCCAGTCTAGGTTAGCACTGGATTGCTAGCTCTGCCTTCCAATGCTATTTAAAGGTACAAACCTAAACGCTCCTATCTCCTGTACTTGCCCCTAATTAGCCCCTTAATTACCCTCTAGGACACCATCCGGTTACACGTAATAATGTCCATTGTTTCCTATCTCTGCAATCTACCTTTCGCCTATGAACCCTACCTACTCGTGCGTAAACTATATACCCAGATTTCTCCCTTCCCCATCATCCGTTGCAGCACTACAGTCGATTCCAAAAGCCGCAAAAGGACGGGGGCTTTCCTGGGTTCTCGTCACCGTCGACCATCCCACTCCGCCACGATGTGTCTGACAGCTAAACAATCCCGGAAGTATATAGCGTCAGGCTTCAGTTGCTCTTGCAAACATGCTGACAGGCTCAGTTTATCTATCAGCACTATGGACATAAAACCTCACAGGTCAAATTATATTTGTGACCTCTAGAAAGCATAACAAAATATCTGTTAACCAAAGGAAGAAAATCCAGCGATGCTGGGTAGATGCCCATCCTCTAGAAAGGGTCAGAAATAAGACAGTTGATGATGTTACCTAGTTGGGTAACGAAACCTCTGCAAGTTCAGCTAGATTGCCAGAAATCCCCATGAAATGAAAACACGCTCTTTGGCTGACCTCTTCCAAATCCTTTTCCAAAATAACCCATGCAATGCGCAAACACACACACACGCTCCATTGTGAGAGCCAATTTCGACTATGGTTAAGGCACCAGTTTACAAAGCAGGAGATGATGAGTTCTAGTCCCACCTTAGGTGTTAAAGCCAGCGGGGTGACTTTCAGCCAATCAATGGGAGACGGTGAGTTTTAGTCCCGCCTCAGGCACCCAAGCCAGCTGGGTGACTTTGAGCCAATCACCAAGAGATTCTGATTTTTAGTCCCGCCTTGGGCTTGAAAGCCAGCTGGATGACTTTGGGCCAGTCCCTTTCTCTCATCCCAACCCACCTCACAGGGTTGTTGTGAGGAAATTCAGAGGAGGAGGGTGTACTGGATAGGTTTGCCACCTTGAATTATTTGTAAAAATAATGAATGGATTGGAATAAATGAATAAAATACAAAACCATCCCCTTGGATAATGCAAGTGACCCCTTGACTTTGACTGGGACTTCATAGCTGGAGCTTCTGTGTGTGTCTTGTGCAAGACTTTCCTCAACATACAACCACAATTCAGCCCAGGTTTTCCCTTGTTAAACAGAACAATTGTTAAGTGAGTTTTGCCCCATTTTACAACCTTTCTTCCCACAGGTGTTAAGTGAATCACTGTAGTTGTTAAGCTAGTAGCAGGATTATTAAGTGAATCTGACTTCCTTCTTCGACTTTGCTTGTCAGAAGGTCACAAAAAGGGGATCCTGTGACCCCAGGACACTTCAACATCCTAGATATGAGTAAGTTGCCCAAGCATCCGAAATTTGATCACCTAACCCTGGGGATGCTGCGATGGTTGTAAGTGTGAAAAACTATAATGTCACTTTTTTCAGTGCCGTTGTAACTTTGAACAGTCACTTAACGAATAATCTTAAGTCCAAATCTCCCCCATCGTATTCAGATGGGCTTGTATAAGTCAGCCAGCCTTTTCCTAGGATGTTTCTTAAAGGTTCAAGTAACCTACAATTGCATATACCCGTGCTTCACTATGAAACTATGTGGTTGGGCTCAGTTTTTGGGGAGGAAAATAAGTAAAAAAAATTCTGCCTCTGCCTACCAGCATCCATCGGTATTCATCTGGCTAGCGTCCTGTCAGTGTGTGAGAAAGTTGAGGGCTGTTTGGAAACTGAAACAATATTTGCTGTGTGAGCAAGAAGGAAACAGCAAGGAGCCTGGGCGTGGCTTAGCTCAACTGTTTGCTGCTGAGAAACTGAAACTCCTCTATTTTTCTTTTGCATTTAGAACAGGTTTCTTTTCGGGTGGGGAGGTGGAGTAGAACTCCTTAGCATCAGAGCATGTTAATAATAATAATATAGGAAACGCTAATGCTCTGGTGGTCATTTCAAAAAATCCTTTCTTAGTGAGCCCCTAGAAGCCAAGAGGAACATAGGTGCC